ATTTGGTTACGGTTTTATTATTTGTCACTGATTGAGCGTGGTATAAGGTCAAACCAAACATGTCAGGTTTTGTAAAAAGATGGGTTTTATGCTGTCTATATAGCTGTCATATGGTAATAGTCATATTCTAAGTCTCAGGGCGTTTCTTTTCATAGGCCTATTGTTTATGCAAAAAAAGATATAATAATAATGAAATGTGCTTTTAGTTTAATCATGTTAATTAACCAATATAATTTGCTAAATGAGCTCCTTTATCTACTGCTAAATCCTCAAAATTGTATATTATTGTTTTTGAATAAACAGCCACTTAACCTAAATTGGCCAGCTATCGATGTAAAGTTATTTGCCACCAAGAGTGCACTACGACTTAAACTCCGATGCCAACTCCGCCCCTCAAATAGCTTTATGCTAATTATATAGATGCCTCCGATAAGACAAACCGACAACAGTTTAAACTTTACCTGTCCCTGTGGCAAATTAATTCATTTTCTTACAAGATTGCTGCTTGAGAATATTCCCCTCCCCTCGGACTGCTGTTAACTTGGCCTGAACTTATCTTTTGCTGACCATCGCCATATTTAAGTTAATTGCTTTGCATAAATTTTTAATGCGGTCAAATTAATTAGCTGGGGGACCTCAATCAGTCGACATTTGTTCTTATTATTGTCGGCTGGGCTGTGTTGCTGTTTCGGTTTGTTGCCATGTGTCAACGGTTTTATTTATGCACGAATGCAAGAGTTGTGGCTTATAAATGTAGCTGTCAGTTGTCATAATTTATAGAATAACTGTCAGAGTTGTAACACCTCTGCGCACGATTTTTCTTTTTCTGGGCTGCGGCGGCTGTTCTCTCGGAGGCCTCTAAAAACCTATCGCTCGCAATGCTGCCATAATCATAGCGTCAACGTTTTGATTTATGTGCACAGCTCTCCATTTTGGTTTTTGTCTTTACCTTTTATTTTTTTTTGTGTGTGTGGTTTTTTTTTTAATTTTTTGTTTTCATCTTTTCGGCTCATGGGAGTCGCACAGCGAGTTGGTCCGCTGGAAATAACAGTTAGTAATGTGGGTTGGTAGGTAGGTCGCCGGATTGGTAGGCTTGGAGTTTCGCGACAGTTGATTATGATTAAGTGCTAAGCCCCAAGCAACAGACGAATTATTTTCAAGATTTTGGAGCTACACATTTTCAATACTCATTGCATTGCACTTGGAACAAATTGGAAACAATCTAAGTTAAAAATAAGATCTTAATAAAATTAATCAAGTTTCTATATTCATACAACCATTATTTTTTGTTTCATAATTAAACTAAATACAATTTTTGAGTTTTCTACATGTGTAATTGGTTTATCCAATAACTCAAAGTAAGCGTGGGTGTTCCTATCGATTGTCTATAAATATAGGTGGATTAAAATATTTATATTCTTTATTAAAAAATTAATAAGTTTACTTTTTGCTTGCTTTGCAAACTCTTAACGGAAGTTGTGTGCAAAATAAATGAAGAATCAATTGCCTCAAAGTTATCCTTAAGCTTTTAAATGTTTGCTACAAAAGTACATTTATTGTTTAGCTGTTGAGAGCAAAACAAAAGAATGAGAAAACCAAGTTAAATGTATGCATAAATCAATCAATCGCAGCATTTGACAGACAGTCTCGAGTGGCGAGGCAGTCGAGGGTACAAATGACAGACGGTTACGTTGTGTGGACTTTGTGTGCAAAGTAGGTAACGAAATAATGAATATGGTAATAAATAATATGGTAATATGGTAATAAATATGATACCCTTTAGAGCGAAACAGAGCAATATTTATCATAAATAAATTAGACACAAACTTAATTGAATTTACTTTAATACAAGGTTTTTCCAAATATGCACTCTATAATTAATGTAAAAAAATTGTAGATAAAATAAAAGTTTTGACAATTTATTACGTATACGTATTACTTTCTAGCATTACGTATACGTCAATTATTTTCTACCATGCACACTTTCGGTAACTATTCCCAAAAAATATATATATTAATATTTCGCCAACATAAAATTTATAAAACAGTTACTAGATTTACTTTACCTTTACTACAAATGACTCTCTCTTCACTCTGTTTTCCTGTCAGTCTTTCTATTGCTGTCTTTGCCTCTCAACGGCAGCGTTTAGCTGTCAAACTGATTTATGCAGGGGCTTGACATATATTAATGGGCGGCGGTGTAAAATAAATGCGCATTAAATTATTAAAATGTGAAGCTTATTTTACTCAAAACTTTTTGTTACTTTTACATATGCAAACAATTTAAAACAATCGCTAATTTGGAGAGACTTGTCAATAGTTGTTAATGAGGAATTGTTCATTTCAATTTGAATGAAATCGCATTTGTTAATATCTTATATCTATAATTATTTGTGTAGGCGTGTTAATAATATAGCACTTTGATGTGGAATTAATTACCTTTCCTTCAATAAAAAGTACTGTGCTTACATATTGTATTACTATATTAGTGCGCTTATCAAACATTTTTTTAAACAAACACAAAAAAAAAATATTAGCATACAAATATTCTTATGCAAATGAACATAAATCTGTCAGCACGCAATGACGTAAAAAATGGTGTCACAATTAATTATTTATTTTTATTGTGTTGGTTTGTTCGTGGGTTTTGTGTATATTGTAATTACATTACCTGGCATCGATTAATGCAAATTGTTCAATAATTTTATGTTATTTTATATACCACGCTTTTTTATTGACAGTTGATTTGGTTTGCAACTGATTGCATTCATAAATAAAATGATAAATAAAATTTGAAGGCCGCGCATTAAATGTTGTTGTTAATTGTTAATTAAAATTAACGTGATAAATATAGTTAAAGCTTGTTTTGGAGTACATCTGAAGTAGTAAATTGAGAGCAAATCCTGTTTTTGATCATCCAAATTAATTTACATGTCAATATTATCAGTTGTATACAAAATTGGTAGCACTCTGTTTAAAAATAATGAATTCCTAAAATAAAATGAGCGCTTAGAAATATTAATATACAATATATAAAGTCTTAATGGAAGTACAATATTATGATTCAGGATCTTAATGGATATGCAACTCAATTTATTTGCTCATTGAGCAATCCACAAAAAAGGGGAAAAATAGAATTTCAAAACAATTTCGAATTTCAAGACGACAGATCTGAAATGAGCCAAGACGTTCCCATAGCCATTAGCCGCCCACAAATGTAGTGCGGATGAACACGCACGATTAATAAATTAAATTGAAAGACACACAAAGTGTGAGAAGGCGAGAAATACAAATTTTCCAAATGAAATTGTTAAACACTGACGACTGGCTGCATTATTCTAAGCATGTGCCTTGAAATATGTCGCGACATGCTAATAAAAATATTTGTTTTCCCGGCTCTCACATCTAGATTTATATTTTCTTCTATGGGGAACGGCGATGCGGAGCGATGGTACGCTTGAGTTGGTTTTATTTTTGTTTATTAGCCGCCTGCTAATAAAAATTAATTTGAAAATACTTTTTAAAATGCCTTCGACTTGGATGGCTGGCGGGCATAGCTTAAGATTTTTATTTATTTGTTTTTCTAATTTGTATTTTTCGTTTCACATTCATTTTTCTACGTTCTGAGTACGTTGTAGTTTGTGCGATTTATTTATGAGCTTTACGATTGTATTGTGTGTTATTCTTTCTCAGTCTTTAAGACTTTACTTTTTCGGTATGCTAACGATATGTTTTCTTGATGAAGCACAATGTGTTTATTGGACGCGATTTATCACCTTTTGTAAGATATTATTAACCCAATGAAAGCGTATTTGTCAAGTCTAAAAGGAAATACTTAGGCAAAAACTACTCTGTAACTTTAATTTGAAAAATAAAAACATTAACCGAAAGCTAAGAAAAATTGAATTTGAGAATACCACTCTAGAGTATTTTTAAAGTCTAAAGAAATATATTGCCTCAACATTTCTTAGTATGTTGCGAAAAGCTTGGCAATTTATTACCTAACAGAGCATTTGATTTATGGTAACATAATTTTTCTATATGTACTCGTGGTCGTATTTCCTGAGCGACTTCCAATAGGAATTTATTTTCGTCACAGCCTAAGAGCCGTAAACAATTTAAGCGAATTGGTTTGAGGGTCATTAACTAAAATCCATCTACTTATTTCAAACACAAACAGCTGCGCCAACAATTTGTCAACCAACCAGAGAAAAATATTAATATTTTATGGGAGCTTTTTACAAATATCATAAAATATCCGAAAACGAAACTTTCATAATTCTTAAGCGTAAACAAATTGTGACAAAAATGTGAATTTAGAGACTTAACCCGTACGCATAATGCAGATTCTCGAGTGACTTTTTCTGAAGGCAAAATATTTGTCTGCGATAAATCTCCATCGTCTCCCCTTCATTTTTTTTGACAGCCACACGACCTAACGAAAAGATCAAAGCGAAATAGCGAACATATTTTTTATTGTCGTGCCTTATTAATAATGCTGAAAATGCTGAAGTTTTTAATATTCTTTTATGATTTGTGGCCAGTGACAAAATCCATTAGATATGACATTTGGTGCGAACAGATTAAATTTAAATATATGTATTTTCGGGGTCTCGACATTTATGAAATATTGCCAAAGGGTAGTAAAAATAACGAAGGAATTCCGATTGGAACAGGTTAAGTATTTTAAATGTTTACGCCTTGAAACCAGCAATTAAATTAGTTTCAGTGTCTTGCTAAAGTGTTGCAATCAATTAATTAGAGCAAATCAGTTACTTTGACCGTGTGCTAATCAAATGCATTTTAAATTTGTAATCGATTTATTTACCTGTGTGCCAAGTTGTGGCTTTAAGCTGGGCGTTAGCTTTTAATGAATGCATTTATTTGTAAAACTTATTACTGGCTTTTAGAAAGTGTCAGTGGGAGTGAGAAATGTCTTTTTGTCAGGCAACGTTAATTTATTGGTTAAGTGCTTTAAATAAAACAATTAAAAATAGTTCTTGATAAAGTGGATTTATTTCAAATGTGCGCAATTTACATACACAATTGTTTATTCGTTTTGCTTTTGAATTCGAGGATCTTTCAGATCTTCAACTATTTTTCTGATTCATCCTCCGTTTGATCCACCGAGCTCTGCTGGTGTATTTTGTGCTTGCGGCGATCGCGGCAACTGCCACAGATTCGCATGCAGAAGAAGTAGATGAGCTCCAGGAAGCTGAGACAGGAAATTCCCATGAACAAGCCGCAGATGCCGCCACAATTGGAAATCAATGTTGATACTCCGAACAGAATTGTGCGTTTAATGGCTGTAAACTGATGTTCCTTGAAGTAAATGGTGAGTCGGGAGCCAATGGCACTAAAAGGTACAATAAATTATATAAGATTGATTATTTTTTTTAGTTAGAATGATTTGAGTTGATCACCTCTATTGAGAATAGCTTGAGATACTCACTCCGTATGTTCATATTCTTCGCGGAATGCTCGAATGGTCTTTTCTAAATCGTATTTAGCTCTGGATATTTCAAAGTTATATTCAAGCGATGTGCAAGCTGGCATGCAATTGCAGATTAAATCGACATTATTATCAACACTTTTAGCCATCGTTTGATTTTGCAGCAGAGTGTACAATTCATCTTGGGCACTTGTGTAGCAGGTGATGTCATTCAATCCACAAACAGGAGTGCCCACGGGTTCTTAAAAAAACAAGCTAATATAGATGAATTCTGCAAATAAAATAGGATAGGATAGCTTACTGGGCATCCAGAATTTGGCACAACCGCATTTGGCAATCGTATAATTGGCCAGACATTCCGTTTGGCAATTGCTCTGCGAATAGGATCGGAAAAATCGCAGGGAACGCTCATCATCGAACAGACACTGTCGTCTAAATGGAATTATTTTAATCGGAAATGTCACTCTTGCGAACACCTCACAACTCACTTCTCTGGGGTAATTTCGTGCAAATTGTCGGTGGACACGACATAAGCGGGCAAAACACTGACCAGGACCTCATCGCCATGGGGCACCAGAATGTAATTGCCCGACGTCAGTGGCACACTCTCCGGGGAATTGAGAAAGACCTGTTAAATTACACATTAGCTGTAGGTGTATTATACATTTCCACACCCAGTTTTACACACACCTTATAGCCCTGTTTGAAACTACGACAATCGTAGTCGAAATTGTGCTGCAAGCCCTGCAAAAAGGCGAAGAACCCATTCTTCGCCGATGAGAACACCGTCCTTTGGGGATACGCATTTTGACCCTGGTCCACGAATCCTGTGCCCAGTGACCAGTTACCAGTTATCTCGTTCCACCGCGGCAGACTCTCATCGAAGTAGTTGTTAAAGCTCACCACATCCGGGTCAATATAGCTGATGAACTTCTCGTCGCGATAAATATCCTTGGCTCGCAGGCCATTAAACTGATAGCAGATTCCCTCGTCGGTGGCCACAAAGTCGAAGATCTTGTCGCAGAAGTAGAACCTTCCGTTCCACTTGCAAAACGGTCCCGTCTTGTTCTTCGAGATACTCATGTCGATCAGGGTTTGGGTTACGTCCACATCGGGGGGATAAAGTGAGGAAAGTAGTGGAGTGAAACGGTCAACTACGTCAGGATCACAAATGTGCATGGCAGCTGCCATTCGACCCAGGCTGAAAAAAAAGTTTAAATGAATTACAATTATTTAAAATATAACTTATATAGTTACCATTTAATATTAGATACCAAAAAATAATATTATTAAATATGAAAAAAGATTTTTGTATAAAGGTTTGACCTCTTAATAAGAAAGAAAATACTTTCACTTTCTAAAATTACCAATCATTTTAAGATTTAAAGATTTAATAAAAAAGTAGAAAATACTCAACTCTTCACCCTCCAAATTGCTGATATTACCACCCTGCTTGTACTCATTCCAAAGCAGCCGAGATATGTTCGTATAGTCAAAGGTGTTCCGTTCCATTTTGATTTCCGGACAAATGGTAACCGTGGGAAAGGGTATCTTGTGCACTGGGACCAGAGTCTCATCGAAACCCAGAATGACCGGGGAGTCCTGCCATTTCAAATAGGTAGCCCAGATGAGGGAAACGGCAAAGTACACAGAGATGCAAGTGAAGAAAAGCCAATACAGTCTGAAAGTCAGGGTAATTATTAATTGAGTTACTTAAGATTTTCCTTCTAAATAACTCACTTTTCGTAGATGGGTCTGTGGACCTCGAAGATATATCGGATGCCGTGAATGGTCGTACTCTTGGCATACTCCAGAAGTAAACCTTTGCAGGCGGATAGAGTGCTGCCATATCGAATGCGAGACTTGATGATCACATCGCTGGGAACATCACTCAGAGCTGCCGAGGCGATACTTGCACGGGTATCGAATCCGGGAAGGGTTAAAAGCTCGGGACCCGGCAGAATGCTGATCCCAGGCTTCTTCTCCTCGTCCTCCTTGATCTCGGCCATTGTCCACGGAACAGGACGCTTGGCAGTCGACTAAGCTTTGCCAGCCATCCGACGGGTCCTTTTATAGCTGACCTCTTGCTAAAAAACACCTGAAAAGTGGGTGCGTTCTAAGGTTCCACTGGGTTTTTGCCCTGGGAATTCAATTCGCACGCACCAGCGACGCATTTGCATACTTAAGTTTAATTAGTGACCCACAACACCCGCCTTAATTGTGGCTTTAAAATGTAAACTAATTTTTCTTAACTGTTTATTTTTACTTTTTATCAAGTATATAATTAATCCATTAAAGTTTTTATGCAAGACAACCATCACAGGAACACTTCCTTAAAAAATGATAAAGATAATTAACAACTGTACAAATTATTATATTTCTGGAATTCTACTAATCAAACAATTATGATTTGTTGGAAAAAACTTATTTATTATTATCCCAGCTCCACATATTTTTTCCTTTCCTAGACATTCTTTAGCTTCTCCCGGGAAATAAAAGAATTCTCGTATTTGTTTAGCTGCACCACTTATCAAATCATCTCGGTGGCGACTCACCGATTTTGGAAGTACCGCCGAGTACTTGCTTTGATTTTATGCTAAGAAGATTGTCACCACGGTCGGGATGCCGGCGAACATTACTCTTTTTTGCGAATGCCCGACATCGCTTAAACATGTTCCTGGAATTTGGTGGGATACTCTCCTTTTATGCAGGACTGGTTGGTTGGTTGGTTGGTTGCTATTGGCATCGTCTGGCGGCATTCGTGCGTGGTTCGATTTTGTCTGCGTATCGATGCACACACACAGTGCTCTTCTCCGCCGTTTTGGCCAACTCTTGAATCTGGCTCAGTTGTTGGCACTTATTTGGGGACATTGTCATCGATATAAAACGGTGCCTTTTGCAATGTCCACTGGTCAAGAGGCATCCGTTGCGCATTTTTCGAATATTCAGCCAGCTCTGTGTGGGTTTTTCGACTCTGCAGTTTTTACTTTTTTGGTTTTTATTTTTTGTTGTCCCATTATCAGAGTGTGTGCATCAGCATTTGGTTTCGCGTGAAATTCACTCACGACTTGTAATTATTTAATTTTATTGTTTGTTTTGTGGGCAGCCGACAGCCGGGAACAACAACGCCTTGTGTTCGCCAAAGTGGAGTGCCTACTGTTCGACAAGATTTCAGTATCAGATCAATTGGCTAAAGGCCTTTTAAAACTACACTAAATTATTATGTAGATAAGTATTGTAGTGACCGAACAGCAACGCCTACAGTGCACGTCATTCGTGAGAGTGCCTTTTTTATTTGCGTGCAAATTGTATTCGCATTGGGGCGTCGAATTCTGTTTTTGTGTGGCTCAAATATGGTTATTAGTCATTAGGCTTATAGAGATAATTATTACTGGTAAAGTGGTGGGCTTAACATGCCCTTAACTGAATTGATAAATGGACTTAATGATCGGTACTTATGGAATCACGTATCTATAAGGTACATAAATTAATAAAAAGTGTTTCGAACTTACGTAAACAAAACGCTTTTTTCTGACTTTGAAATGTAGAGCTTGTGGCAAATATAAAAAATATTTTTGTTGATTTATTTTCACTCTTTTTTGCTTTCTGTGAAAGTTTTTTTTACTTGATATATGTCGACAGACATATTTCAAGAGCTCTCGAGTAATTCAGTTTAAATTATTCATATTTTAATGTGTTCCCGCATAAAGGCCATACTCACAAAATATCATTGCACCGGCGCTCCCAAAAACGACAGAAAAATTCAATGGCCTGTCTGCATTTTTAAATGTTTTTTGCTTTTGCCTTGAGTGTGTGCATTTGATGGAACTGTAATTAAATTGGTGAGTGTTTCGAAACGTCACGACAGTCTACATATTTCAGCAATTCTATTTGAATAATTGACGCTTGCTTTGTGGGTGGGCTGAAAATTGTCGGAATTACCCTTTGAAGGTCCAATAAAAAGCTGTTGAAGAGTTGTAAATTCGAGAACTAACTTTTTTCCGGTACAGATACTCGTTAAATATTTACAATGGGCAGATACATAAAAAGTAAAGGAAAACAGATTTAGATTCGATATGGCAAACAAAGCTTTGAAAATTTCAGTGGGGATTTGTATTGCATTTCGGCAATAGAATTAAACTTGTGTTTTCTTTATTTATTTGGATCAGGGAATTGGAGACATTTTTATTGAATTATTCGGATTGATATTTTTTCTTTTCTTATTTAACTTTAGTTTTAAAATGAATAATTTATTTACTTTTATACCCCTAACCGAAAAGATTATTTCTGGTTGCTAGGTAACTTTTAAAAAATTTGTTTCATTTGAATTGATAGAAGAAGGAAATTCAATCCCTATTTGAATGCAAACATATTATTTGAATAAAGCCACAGTTGCACCAAACATAATCTATAATTTGCAGGATATACACATGTTAGTGCTTTGACTTTTTCAATTCCACTTTTGTCAGTTGAATGGGAAAAGCTAGGAATTATATATGGCATCATAGCACACGTTATGATCTCATCAATTCGGGCTGCCTGCCATCGAGGGCATAACTACGGACATTCATAACCCCGGTAGCCTCCCAGTTCCGTCCCACCTGCCCCATTCTACAGATGGACGACTGTTGTTGTTCCCTTGTGGCAAACAGTCCTTCCTCCTCCACCTCCCTTCTTGCCACACTCCTCTTCCTGGCTTGGCCGATTCGCATTTGTTTATAAATTATGAGGCAGAGACAAAAGCTGACTGCAGCTGCTGATGAGTTGAGTTGGCTGCCAGGAAAGGCTGTGTTCCTTCTCCTGCACCTTCGTCGCTCGCTTTTCTGTAATAAATCAAAAGCAGTTTCACCAGCAAATCCTCTGTCTTGGCTAAGAGTCTGTCTGCTTGACGTCTACCTGTCCTGCCTCTTGTGTCTTCTATGTGTTGTATGTTGTGTGTGTTGTGTATGTTGTGTGTATGTTTGTGAAGTTCCAGTTGCAGTTGCAGTCTGTGGCACTTGCGAGCTGCAAATTTATGCATGGCTTCACATTTCTTCGAGTTATCATTTGTTACCTAAATTATGCATGTTGAGTTTGAGTTTTCGTTGTGGAATTACTCCAGACGATTAGCCGACCCAAGGCTAAATGGTCAGTGAGTGGATGCCAGTTGTTTGTGTCAGTTACCAAAATTACAAGTTTTCACCCATTCTACCTGAGCGAATGTATTAAAATGATGTTCATGCTGATATACATAAGCAAATGATAATCGAATATATTATGGCATGGGCTCCAGGGGCGGACGCAGAAAAAAATTTTGGGGGGTCCGATCAAAAAATTTTTGGTTTGGGGGGGTCCGATCAAAAATTTTTTTAGTTTACATGGTTGAAAGACCGAGTGCTGTAAGGGAATTTGAAAAAGTCTGGGTTTTTGGGGGGTCCGGACCCCCGGACACCCCCTGCGTCCGCCCCTGATGGGCTCGATTAAACAAAATTTCAATTATGAAAATTGTCCAAACAAGACATTTAATTCATTCTCCCCTTCGGGAATCCTTTGGCCATTCGTTGCGATAAAGTTCTACAGCAACAAAAATCATGGAAAATAATTAAATGTATAATTTAGTAAGCGATTCTATCCCCAAGCACAACCGCAACAAATTGTTTACAAATGGTCCACGTTTAATGTAAATTGTTGCTCACATTAGTTGCCACAGATTTTCGTCCATGATTATCCTAATTAAAAGCGTAATTTTCCAATGCATCTGCTCATTTTCCCATGTGTGTGTATATAAATATATATTTAGGCTAGTGTGCACATATATTTGGCTTAAACGCACTTGTTTAGGTAAAAATGTTGTGCTTTTGGGATGGAAAAGTTTATTACTTTAATGTTGTTGTTGATATCTATTATTTCAGTTTGCTTTCACTATTATGACTTTAAAGCTATAATTTCCTTCATATAATTTAAGCTTTTTAGCTCTATATAGTTTTATTTTCTTTACATCCGCTTCAAGTAATTATAAATTGTTACACTTTTAAGTGAGTAACGATGGTAGCGAGCATTGAGAGTAATTTATGAAGCGGCCAATCCTAAGTCATTGCCATGACATTTATGACCGGCACACCGGTCGGAATATGGGAATTAACATCCAACTAGTACTAAGTTAGATGCAATGTGGGGCCATATAAACAAGTGCATAAGTGTATGGCTTAAAATGACTGTGTCAACGATATTTATCATGGGCTTACATTGTCATTAATAATGCCGCCAACTCGGACGAGTGAATTGTGATTCCGCTGGAGGAGTGCGGTGCACAAATTGCAATTTCTATGCAAATTTATAACAAATAATTACTGACAGCCATATTTCATTAGTAATTGCAGGTACAACACACGGCGCTCTCACTCACTCACTCACTCTCTCTGCAATCTCAAACGTGCAGTGTAGTTGGGTATATTTTAAAGATAAATTTTGCAAAAGGCAACGCGGCCAAGTCAAGTGAACTCGGCTCGTAACAGGCCACTACTTCGCACAGTGAGGCAATTAAGCTGATGACGTTGATAAAAATCAACAGCAGTCAAGCTGCCATATCCCATAATTTATGGCCCACAGCAGCAGCGGCAGTGGAGTATCGGACAGTGAGGAAATTATCTACATATTCATATATGTGGCGACACATTATTAAAAGGTTGAGAGTCTGTCGTATAACATGTCTCATATATTCACGTTTATGCAGTCATATATATCCGCCAGTGATCTGACTAGATGACATACGATCGTTAACAAGTGCGACCAACTTTGTAACTATTTATCAGTAATGATAGTCGTGCTAAAAATCGAACTGCGAAACGGCGCATTTATCGATCGATAATGGCCTTGTGCTCGATTTGACCTAGTCTTTAACCGTTAATATATGGGCTTGCCAATTAATATTCCATATAGGCGGGGATTCTAGGCCGATTTGCATTTCTGTATTGTAATTATAAAACACGTATTAATTACTGTAGAGAAAACAATTTCCATACTAAATTGTTTATGGGACTT